ACATATAGCACAGTGGTCATCTTTAATTTCCTATTAACTCAATCAGGATCCCTGTATGACTTATACTGTTGTATCAGACTGATCTTAGCTAAAGCTGACTTGTTTGAATACTGCTTATTATTGACAGATTCTATTCAATACTACTTGGCTGCTGGTATCAAGTTGAGGAGTATAGACAACTATGCTGAAAATTACAATGATTCACCACGATATCCATTCTGATTTGATTACTACCTGTTTTTGTAGCTCTCCACTATCTACAAAGTTTTATTTCTGTTAATTCTGCTATGTACTGATACGTTCATTTAAACTATATCTGGTGATATAGCCAATTCTGTTGATGATAACATGAAACAGCACAGTAACCATGGTAGAACTCCTTATACAGCAGTTTTATATGTCTTTTTAGTTTTATAGGTCTATAGGAATATATTTAGTTCTGTCTTACTTTGTTCTGTTTCTCCCTCTAATATAGAAAGGATAGAAATACATGTTAAGACTCATGCTTGCATAAAACCTATAAACAGTTTATGAGAACTGATCTTATGACACATGATGAAGTGAACAAATACTTTGAAGGAAAAAAAAGGGGCACTGCAGTGCTGATTCCGGAGTGTCATGATGTGAAATCCAACAATATTATTAATCTTTGTTCAGAAGGATTTTAATCTAATAAGTTTTGTTAGGTCTCAACATAAATGAAGACATAGAAAAATGTGTACATGTCTAAATGTATAGGACTGATACTCATATTACTTAGTTTTTGTTGGATAGTTGAACAGAATGGTTTGCAGTCTCCCCAGGTGAATTCCTGTTTATATGTTCCACTTTTATATCTTGAACAATTATTTGTGGGGGGATAATATGTATACATCAACTAGTGATTTATTACTGTTTATTTCTTTTCTTTGAAAGTATGTACTATTTCTGCCCGTTTTCTATTCTGTTTTATCTTCCTTTAAATAAAATTTAAAAAATAAAAATATTTCAGAGGCCAACATCAAGTGCTTCCAAAGCTCCTCATAAACTAAAGTCTTCCATGTAGAAATACTTTAGTTACCATATAAGTTAATTAGTAACAATTCATTGTTTTATTATCTTTATATTATTTTAATTAGGTTAGATTTTTGCAACACTTACTGTAAACTTCAGTTTCAGTCTGTGAAAAATTTAACCAGAAAATTTACATGATTGGAATTAATTCTTCCCTCTAAATCTATTCTGATGACAAGAGACAAATACGTAGTAGGCATTCGGCAAACAAATGTGTGTTGTTAATTTCTAATGATTTTTTCCCAGTCAGACCTCATCTGGTGTACCTTATTTCCTCCACAATCATGCAACCTATAGTACTATATTTCACAGTTATTTACTTTTCTCTGAAGTATATCACTAAGCATAGTAACAAACAAGTGTGAGATCATGAGTTTGATCCCCAGTACCAAAATAAACAAACAAACAAACCAAAAACAAAAGTAAGAAATTAGCTAAATAAATGTTCTCTAACACTGCAGAGTTTTATTATAATAACCCCAAAATTTGTTTGGAATTCAAAAGTAACTACCTTCATTTTAGAGTAGCTATATATTTTTTATTATACAGGAGTTAACCAGGGACACTGGGAGGGAAGAGAAAGTTGGAGAAATCGGGAGATGAGACCTGAGCAAGGCGGACACCCCCAGGATGGCCAGAGGGGCCCACAGCATCCAGGAAGCAGAAGGAAAGTCAGAGGGCTAGAAAGTCTTGCAGCCTCATCCTGGGAGTCTGGACTTCAGTTTATGAATAACGGGAGGCTTTGAAGCAGGGTACCCAGGAAAGAGTCCATGACTCGCACATTTCTAAGAGGACTCTTTAGCCGGTGACAGCATAGCAAAACTAAATTTGAGTAGACAAATTAAAAGACCACTGTCATTATTCTGCAAAAGATAACTAAGTTTAAAGGAAATGACAGGAATGAAAATGGGAAGAAGCAAGCATATTTTGGATGTGTGTATTTTAGAGAGAGAAAAAGAGAAAGAGAGAGAGAGAGAACATAACAAAAGAAATAAATATTCGATGCATGGATTATTTTAAGGAGGCTTCCCAAAGATTTTTTCTGAATATATTGAATGAGGTAGTCCATCTTGTTTACCATTTTATAAAAATACATTTATAAAACTAAAAATGAAAAAAAAGGAAGCATTAATTTCACGCCCAGCAGATACACTAAAGGCGGCAGATAAATGATGCTTGCATCTGTAAACCTCTCTCATAGCATGTGTACCACATCTAAATGCATTTTGCACAGATACAGTAGTTATTTCGGTTTTAATAAAATGATTTCACATTGTGTGTTTTTATTCTTAAATCCTTGCCCCTTCTCAATTATGGCCCTGATTTCTTTTCCTCTATTTTTAAACACGATTCAATTTCCTTCAGACTCTGGAAAGTACTTTCTTGAAATCTTTCTTGTCTTTTTAACATTCCCTTGACCTGCAGAAGGCCATGGCTCCTAATTTTGGGGGGAGAGTAAATGGAATCATCAGTACACTGCCATACACTGATTCTACTAACACTTGTATGGTGCCTATTGATTTATCTCATCCAGTCTCAGCTGGACAAGATCCTCCTTTTCAGCTTTGTTTAGCTTAGCTAATGTGCGTCTTTTCTGGTGTCTAAGGGAGAAGACCTGTTCTACTACTGTTCCGCAAGTGTGTCCTACACGTCCTCAGGTCCTAACAATGACAGTGATTCCCTTCTCCCTGTCCTTGTGCTCCTGAACTTTCATTGGTACTTCTCCACGACTGTGCCCATATTCATACTTTTTCCACTGAAAACTACTCTGTATACTCTTCCTAACTGTTCAATGACCCTCCTGCCCTTACTGAAGTTTTAAAAAGTATTATCACAGGCTGTTTATATTCCTCGCTCATTCGGCAGTCAGGTGTGTTTTGTTTTTCCATCACTGTGAAAAGGAGAGGAAGCCTCAGCAGAATGAACATCTTGCAAATGCTAGAACCTTGAGATCAGTACAAACAGAATTCAAATCAACATATTTTCATTTAAAGCTTATTTTGTAATTTGAGGGCATTAATTTCACTAAATGTAGGTATTGGTTTTGTATGTTTGGCTGTTTTTTAAAAAGTAATATCAATCCACAGTATCCAAAAAATACATATAAATAATGAGCAAAGTAAATTTTAAATGTGGCAATGTTAAGTGTAAATTCTTAAGCTAAAGTTAGTAGGAATAGGACAAAGAATTAGCTTTTTTCTCTACTTTTTAAATTGGCAGAATAGTTTACATAAATATCAAAGTTTTTTTTTTCAGTTCTTCCAAATACTATTTTTTAAAAAATCAATAATGATCACATTGTTTCAAAATAAAAATAGCATACACAAAGGTGTAATTTATAGTAACCAGGGGAAAGAATGATACGATAAAGAAAAAAGTTTCATGTGGTCATTTAACTTAGTCAAATTTAGTTTCATCTGTAAGATTCTATGCAATTAACATTGTCTTTCAGAATGACAGTTTAATTGCGCATAATTCAATAACATGGTAATTATTACTTCAATGTAAGATTAAAAACACGAAGTCTATTTACTTAGGGTAGATAATGCCTACTTTGTTCCAAAATATTTTTATTTTGCTAATTGCTTGGATAGTCTTTAAGATTAACTTAGGCAAATGACTACTTCATCAATATTAAGGCTAATGTCAACAACACTTTTCACTTAAGTCTCCAGCATATTTTATTATTCTACCCACTTTCACTTCAGGTCCACCATGGACCAGGATCTATATCAGCCACAGAATGGAGAGGGATGGAAGATGGTTTACAGAGCTGCTGTCTGAAGTAGTTCAAGAAGGGTACAATCAACTTATGACAAGTGGCCTCTTGAAACTTCTCAAAGCATATTCGCTTGAACAATTATTCATCCAAACTAGCACACACCAGGAAAATTAAATGAAAATTCATTTTATAAATGACTAATATGTATCCCTTACTATCTTAATGTGAGGAAATTAAATTAAATTTAAGGAGTATAAATGGGAATGCATTTTTTTTTCTTTTGACAAAATGTACATGTTAAAAAGTAATGTGAATGCTTTCATGTCTCTGCATGGTCAGCATTTTGTGAATACAGAAAAGTGGAATTTGGGTTTAAGGATAAAGCTTAAAAATGAAAAGATGACTGAATAGAAGGAGACTTCTGGAGGGATGTATTTGCAGGAGTTTGTATTGGTATTTCAAAGTGATTTAAAACTTGAAACCATACATTTATATTTCAAAGTATAGTATGGACATTCCTAGGATGAAAGTCTGAAATCTAAAATACTCTGAAATACAAACATGACGCTCAAAAAGTTTCAGATTTAGGGGCAAAAATTTTAGTCTCTCAGATTAAGGATTTTAAACTATAATGGCATGCAAATATCCCAAATCTGAAAATTTTCTATAAACCTTTCTAGTCCTAATAATTTTAAAAAATAGACATTCAACTTGCACTTACACTTGGGGTATTTCTCTCCCTTATCTCAGAAAGGGAAGAGGTCCGCTCAATAACAGCTCTTATGTAAATACCTGGATTCACAATTTCCGTATTTTTCCCTTATGGTAACAAATTCCTGTTTTTGTAGTTGCAAATACACCGTGTGGCTCTCGCTACACTGTTAGTTCTGACGGGAACATAGTATAAGGCATGAACAACAGTGACTGACCTACAAAGTGTGTCTTAAACCAGAAAACGTGTATTTGTTTTCAGCATAAACTATATATTGATAATAAAAACTTACTGTATTTTAAATTTAGTTTTGGGGGAGAGTATATGTAGAGAGCTTCATTATACTTTTTAGCCAGATCGAATCATTTAAATCGTAAATAACCTTTTATAACAAAGACAGTACATGATCACCAATATGATTTTGTCACACTATTTTGAGGAAATAAAAGTAGATACAGGGTAAGAGTACTATTGCAAGGAAATCTATTGAACATAAAAATAAAAACCACTTACTTGATATTATCAAGACAGCCTGATTCAGGTTTTAGTATGGCAGTGTGATGAAACATTTTATATAAAGCAATTCCCAGGAAGATTACGTTAAGCTGGAATGCAAAAAGTATGTTATGAATAACATACCAGAGTAGAAAGACAAAACAAAACATAACAAAAAAAGTTTATTCTGTGTAACAAATGAATTGTCCTGGGAAATACCTTTAGAACACTTTTAAAGGAATTGGATCATAGATAACTGCCTGGTGTTTTAGTCAAAGCAAAAAGTGTATTGGGGAATTTGGATTCCACTGAGTAACAAAGCACTTACAAACCAAATAAACACAAATACAGCTTTAGCAGGTGGAATAATGTTGTAGAAGTTTTGAAGGATTCACAGCACAATGTACATTTTTAAAAAGTAACTAAACAGCACAATACTTATTCTAGATGGACTATTTATGGACACTGAACATTTCTTTGAATTTATTTAGGGATAGGTTTTCAAATTTTACATTATGAAAACACAATGACTAAAATCAATGCATTTTTGCATACCTAACTCAAAGGAATGGAAAATGATGGTGAAATTCTGATATGACAACCAACTCAAATCAAAGTAGAGAGAACACTCAGACACTGTTATATCACTGAACCCAGAGAAAGCACACGTTTTAAGACAAAATTGTTCACTACAAATTACTTAAGCCACTTAAATCTAAACTGTTCAGAAAAGCATATTTGAATTGTCCTTTTCCATTTGACTAGCTTGTATATTACATAATTTGGGACAGGTGGGATCTAGAAAAATCCCATTGAAAGCCTCCCTGAAATTCTCCCTATTCTATGGCTTCACACATTTTTTATGAATCACCTCCAAATTTAGAAGTAAGTATTTTTTAAAGCATCTATTGAATGACCAAACCATTTAGCCTAACCTGAACCCATTGTCCTTTTGATGGGATAAACTGATTAGTACTGCCATCAGGTTATTCAAAGTCACTCCTACATTTTCTCTTGTTTTGGTCACTTTTCTTTTCCTGTGGAAATATTTCTGATTGGTCGCTGAGTGCTGCTTAGTTGAGTACTGTGAATATAAGCCAATGTATTTCATTCTGGGAAACTGCCTTGTCCCAATCACCATATAGTATTATCTTACATGTAGTACACCGATACCATATTGTGTTTCCAAGGTCTGAAACACTGCTGAATTCTGAAATATATATGCAGAATGTTTTTCAGGTAAGAAATTATAGGCCTGCATTTTATTCAAAGTCAATGGGCTAACATTTTATCCCAGTAAATAGCAACTTTCTGGAAATAGCAACACTAACAATTTTGTCTTAATCAGTGTAATACAAGAAGTCAAGATACTATTCATTTCAAAATGAAAAAGAAAGGGTAAACCTAAAATATGTCTAATTTAGTTGTGCCATCTTAAGCAAAATTTTTAGTTTTAAACATTCATGTAAGAAACAAAAGTGGAAGGAATGATCACGTAGTTTCTCACCTGTTCGTTCTCCACTGAAATAACCCCAAAGAAAAAGAATGGAAATACACTTTTGTCAAAGTTAGTGTCATCACTGTGATTATGTTATCGTTGGATTCCTGAATCCCCATGCGTAAACTCTTCCAAATGCATGTTTTCTTTTCCCTCTGGTTGTGATGAACTATTTCACTATATAAAAGTAGACTGTAATAAGTGTCTAATTGCTTGAGTTATGTAGGGTCAAAAAAGTACATGCTTTCCCCAAATTAACCTATGTAAATTAAAGAAATTTAGTGCAGGGGTAGTGAAGAAGTTTTATTTGTTGACCTGGGACACACAGAGTTAATTAGGAGTTCTCACCATAATTATCAAGGTCGCTGGTCCTATAAAACTCCAAATGAAGTAGGTGTCAAGTCGAAGCCAACATCTGCAAAGAAACACAAGGGAGAGGAAGCATTCAAGGACCGGGCACGGCACATACATCAAGAGTGAGCGAGTGACAGAGAAGAATGTAAGCTGCAGAGCATTCTGCAGGGAGACAGGAAATATTACATTGCTTGTTCATTTAAATGCTGAATTATGTGCCCGATTTCTGACAGCACTATTGATGGAGTAAGATAATTACCCCTGGAGGAAGCAGGCAGAGAATGGCACTGGGCCTTTTTGCTAAGGCCTTTTGTGTATGTCATTAGAAACCTTATAAAAAAGGGGAAAAAAGGAAAGAAAACCCCATACACAGAGCCATTAAATCAAGGAGTTCTACGCTATCTTTTTCTCTCCAATTATGGTGCTACATAACCTGTCTATCAGCTGTCCGGCCGAGTGACATTTTCCTGTCAAGATCTGAGGAAATTCAGTACAAAGAAGAAATAAATTTGGTATCAGGAGATTGAAGTTTAATTAGGTTGGGCAGCCAACCTTTGAGAGTTCTCAAATCTTAAAAAGTGCATTGTTACTCTTCATACTTCTGGGTTCCAAATGATCCTTAGCATCCCATGAAGCTGATTCATGACCTAAAAGTAAATTATTAATCACTTAATTTCAGCCACATTTAATACTTCCCCAATTCTTAAAGCCCCTGGGAAATTACATTTTCATTCTTCAGCATGACAGCAAGACAAAATGGAAGTGATTAGTTACAGGAAAGATTAATGTAAATTCTGAACAAGTTATATTTGATGTTAAAAATAATACCTTGAATTATTTGTCATTTTCGTCTATTTGAGACATAATTAAACAGGATCTCTAGTAGTAAATATTTAAGAGTATTTTGCCATGTATGCTAAACTTGCAAATCTTAATATGGATTTAAATATTCCAGTAATATGCAATGCTATTTAACCTATGTAATAGTGGAATACAAGCAAAACTATGAAGAAAGAATTTTATAAATACATATCAATAAAGAAATTGATTAAAATATTTTTCTATTTCTTGATAAAATGTAAAGCAGTTAAAAAAAGAAGAGTAAATCAATATGTAAATAAGATAAACAAAAATTGAATGAAAGTCAGGTGAGGAATGCAACCACTTATATTACACACACACCTATAATATGATATATACGTGTTACATGGATAAGCATAAACATGTAAATGGTATACATTTAAAGCTGTATATTTTTGATAGATGCATATACATGTAGTTTCTTAGTGGAAAAGAAATAAAATCATATTAGCATTTATCTCTGACATGAGCATATAAAGGACTGGAATTTGACCAAAGGGTCTTTCTGATTTGTTTGTTTGAAGAATTACTGGAAGCAATTATGTCAAAATAATAATATGTTCAATATTTGAATAATGGAGCAGTGCTCTTTTACTATTGTTTCATTTTGTTACTGTTTTCTCTGTCAAATTTTTCAAAGACAGCTTGTCTTCTATTTAAGTTCAAAGCAAGTAAACTAACTTCAACAGGCACTCTGTAGGTACTCCAGTGAGAGACTGACAACCAGTTTTAATTTTTTATAAGAGTGAGATTATTTCCTTTATTCAAAATAAACAATCCTGTCTAAGAAAACACTACTAGTGAAGCAATCACTACCTAAGTTATTAACCATTTATTGATTTGACTAAGTAGCTATCTTCTTGCTGTGCCATTCACTAACACTGTTGAGAGCAACTAAAGTGTAGGACTGCTCACAAGCAGAAACAAACCAGGAAATTCAAAGTTAAAACATGAAAATTATTTTCATTCTTCCCACAATCTAGTTTATCACCATCCTAATAAAAGGGTTTGTGTCTACAGGTAACTCACTAAAGGAAACAGAGGAAATTTTTATGGGTGGTTCAGGAGTCTCAGTAAACACCACATTTTCCCTGCAGATAAAAACAATGAAGGACAAATCAGGGACATTTTTTCAGATTAGACCAGACAGACAGACAGACACACACACACACACACACACACACACACACACACACACTGCACACACACACACCAAAACACACACACACACACACACACACAAACTGTTCACACGCACACCAACACACACACAGCACAAGGATTTTGCTGAAATTATACCAACATAATACTATAGTAATTATACATTTCAGAATGATTGTTAATAGCATAACTTGTTTGCAGGTCAAACATGATGCACATTTCAAGCATATTCTTTTATCGGAAAACTTGCTTCCAGATCTTCTGAAAAATGTTATTTTACAGATTAAGATTTTATACAAATAGTATTACTTACTTTTTCTAATCAATGTCTTATATTAATGAAATTATAAAATTTTCATGTCATCAAATATGAAGCTTAAATAAATGATGTCATTAAATTTTAGCCTTGCAAAACCTGATTTCTTTGCAAACAATCTCAGTGTGACAAATGCTATATTTGGAAATGTACCTTTGGTATAATTCTTTCCTCTAAATATGAAAGTGAAATGCGCAATGATTTTTATGCTTTAAAGGGAATCCTTCAATATGTTCTTGGTGGTATAGATTTAAATCCCTTTCAGAAGTGAACAGAGAAAGAGGCAGTATGAAGCACTTAGCGTGTTATGTGTAAATCATCTCTGCGTGAGCACCGTCCAGGTGTCACTCTCTCCTGGAAGGCTTCGTGGCGAGAACGTGGCTTCTAATCTGACTGCCATCTGGCCCTGCCTGCTGTTGTTCTGGGCCGCACACTGGCTTTCCCCAGCTGCCAGTTTTCCATCTCTTTCAACCTACCTATCTTAAAAATTCACATGATCCCCACCCCAGTTCACTGTGCCCGTGTGGAAAAGAAGATTCTCCACGGGGCTCATGTGTGCACTCACCTCAGCGTATTTTGAAGAAATCTGGCAACTCCATATCTTTTGCATACAATTCAAGACCACTGGCTAAGTGGAGACAGGGTCAGATAAGCAACACAAACAGTAGAGGAAAAACATCACACTAACAACAATAGTTTGCCTCACAGCTGGCCAGACTTGATACTGAAGAATATCATTTATCATAAAATTGACTTTTTCCACCAAGCAATCCTTCACTTGTGAAATTAGGAATTTTGAGAGGCACACCTGTTTAAATTTTAAATTTACTTTTAACTTTTAAATTTCAAGTGTTTATTTTTAAAACAAACAAACTCAGTCATAATAGTATATAACTATGCTTTGTCTTTATAGAGGTACTATTACAAAAATAACTGACCCAAAGCAGAAAAACAAATGTGTTCTGATCATACATCTCTAGTTTAATACTGAAATACCTTCCATACCAAGAACATTCTAGAACTAATAGGAGCACTTATTCTGTACTCCAGACCTTTATTTGCCTTTTGTTTCAATTGTGTAATACAAATATGCTTTATAATTTCTATTTTTGCAGCATATTTTTTCAAATAATAAAGGCAACACATTGTTATATGTTACATAATCAAGTCTTACTGAATTTATATAAGGTTATTGGTTTGAATGCTTGATAGAAATAGTGGTAAGCCAAAGGGATACATTATTATTCTGCTCCACAATAGTTTCACTCCAAGAAACAAGAAACAACAGAAATTAATAATAAAGTCATTCATACCATTATCATCTGTCCATTGAAAGTCAGTTACCTATCCAACAAGCATTATCTTCATTTTTACACAGAAAGAAAGAGAAAAATAAAGCAAATTAATATTTCCAAATGGGACAAATTTATTTCTCAACATAGGTGAACAGAAAAAAAAAAAAAAACTACACATCTAAGGTTTATGCTCTTCTGCTAAACTACTTACCATTTTATCATCATTCATTTGAAATAGCATAATTCTTTTTTTTGAAAATAGTAGAACTAGTCATTCAATCTACATAAATGTCACCAAAATCACATTTTTAAGTACTAATAACACAACCAGAAAATAGTTCCCTCTTGAAAGTCAGTAATGTAGAATCATTAAGATGATTTGGAACACTGTATTTTGTTGCTAGTTTAATTCATTCATATCATAGCAGACATCTACCTATTAAGCCAAAGGTTTTTGAAGTAATATAAAGCAGCAATGGTGAGTAGAGTTAAAAACTGGCTGTAGTATACCAGATGTTAGTTATGTTGCTTTTATATCCTCAACACGTCATTTTTTAAAAAAGAGTTTCACAATGCCTCCACCAAGATACATCTTCCATTCTTAGGAGGGGTTATAAAAACAAGAACAGTACTATTCGCTGCAATTTATTAGTACATGTTGGCATAATTTCCATAATCTCATCTTCCGTAAACTAGTAAGAGATGATACAAGAATTCCAACCATTACTCTAAAAATTGGATGCTTATTAATACAATGTATTTATAATTTTAAAAAGTGTTGTTGATCGTAAACTTTTATCTTGTCATTTGTTTCAGCCAAATAGTAGTACCAGTAGTAACAATGTGACACATGAAAGACAATTTACATACATGATACTTACATAGATATATGCATGAAAGCACATAGACACATACGCACTTATTACACATTAACACACAGTTTTAAACATTACAACGAAAGGTCCTTATAATAAGCACCACTTCACATAATAAGAGTGAAATTCAGGGCAACTAGCATTTAATTTTAGTTAATTTGACTCCAAAGTCTATGACTACTGAATGCTTCTGGAAGAGAATAAAAATATGTGATATAAATCAAATAAAAGTATAGCTTACTTAACTATAAATTCTCAATAGATGAGAATTGTATGTGCTTTTTTAAAGCACAGATTATGGAAACACGTCTAAAGTAAAAAATATAAAATCTTCTTAAATGTAAGATCATCTCCTGATATTAATGAAAATTTTAGTAATTTTACCTAGCTTTACTGCAACTCAATTTATATGCAAAAAGCACTCATTTAAAGGATACAACTGAATTATTTTGAGTATACCTAACAGATGAGATACCATTAACAGAGCCTGATTTGTCTTTCTATCACACCAAATGCAGGCCTGTACTTACCAACAGCCACGCCCCTCAGCTGT